TAAGCAGTTACTTCAATGCACCATGTCAATCAGGAAGGATGGAAATCAGGCAGCTAAATTAAGATTTTTCTATAATTAGAAGCTTCCTTATTTCCAATTTCTTTATTCTGATATATTTCTCTTTTAGCTGAATATTTAGATTAGGAATATGTAATATTAAGTTACCTAAAATTGATTATATGCACTTTATTTTGTACCTAAAATAGATTGTAAGATTGTTATTTAATGGAATGAAAGCAAAAGGAAAAGGTAATTGAGTATATTTAGTATTCAGCATATTTTTTTTAAGACTTTCAGATAGTATCAGAGCCAAATTTTTGCCCTAACCACCGGTAGTCGTTGGAGGACCTTCAAGACTTCCCTCCCGCTGGCCTTCTTGCGGGAAGGGAGGAACTATTTTTTTTTCTTGATTCGTTCATCAATTATGCCACCTGCTGTGATGGCAAATGATGCCAATGTTGCTTCCTCATCATCCTCTTCTTGATTTGATGGTTTATTTGGTGGTGGAAAGAACCAGGCGAAAGCAGCAAGGATTCTTGGGTTGAAAAGATCCGTTATGTTTGTATTATTATTCGTTCGATTTGGATCTTCTTCGCTAGGCATCGTTGCTTCTGTGGCATCTTTGACTGCTTCTTACGCTTCGCTTCATCCGCTTAAGCTTCGGCTTCGACGCTCCTTAGATCCATGGCTTCGGTTTCGGCAAACCAAAGATCTTAGGCTTCGGTCTCTCGGGCTTCGGCACTCTCGGGCTTCGGCGTTTCGGGTTTCGGCACTCTCGGGCCTCGGCCTTTCGAGGTCGGCACTCACGGGTTTCGGCACTTTTAGGTTTCGACATTGTTGGGCTTCGGCACTCTCGGGCTTCGACATTCTTGGGTTTCGGCACTCTCAAACTCCGGTCTTTCGGACTTCGGCATTTCCAGGCTTCGGCATTTTTGGGCATCAGCACTTTCGGGTTTTGGCACTTTCAGACTTCGGGCTTTGACACTTTTGGGCTTCGGTATTTTCAAATTTCAGCACTCTGAGGCTTCGGCATTCACAACTTGAGGATTTTTTATCCCGACAATGTTATTAATTTCTTGTTGGCAAATTGATACTTTCTGATCAGTCAGTTTCAATTTGTGGGGGAATGTCAATCAAGAAGGATGGAAATCAGGTAGCTAAATTAAGAGTTTTCTATAAATAGAATCTTCCTTATTTCCAGTATCTTTATTCTGATATATTTTCCTTTTAGCTGAATGTTTAGATTAGGAATATGTATTATTAAGTTACCTAAAATAAATTATATGCACTTTATTTTGTACCTAAAAATAGATTGTAAGATTGTTATTTAATGGAAGGAAAAGGTAATCGAGTCTATTCAGTATTCAGCCTATTTTCTCAACTTTGACACACCATTTCCATATTTCTGCATTAAGTTACAATATGGTAACCCACTTTAAATATCCACCTATAAACTGCCCATAGCATGAACAAAATCACTGAATTGATCAGCAATTAATCATGCAGAACAAATATAAAGACGTGAAAGCACAAAACACAGCCTCAGTTTCATTGCTACCAAACATGATTCTTGATTAAACATAGTTACTAATCAACTCAAAGATTAGCAGATTAGCTGGACCATCAAAATCCTGATCGACAAAAATTGTAGTGCAACCGAACAACACCTAAAAGAAAAGGAAGTCAAGAAAAATGAAGGAGCTGAAGCATGAACTTTGCTTTTATGGAAAGATCAAGCATACTTTTTCCTTCATTGCAAACCAACATTTCCCTTTGCTATAAAGCATGAGGCATTAAAATTTCCTTAAGAGAAATAAAATAAGAAGTTTGGGAAATTGACATGCTGAAAATGAAATCAAATGATTACCTCCGCGTGAGGCTGCCCGGCCTTTGGATGAAACCCTTCACCAACAATATCACCATCTTTCACAATAACACAACCCACCATCGGGTTAGGACTCGTACACCCAAGTGCGTTCCTGGCAAGCTCCACGCACCTCCTCATATAAAACTCATCCTCCATTTTCCTGCAAACAGGATTCGTCGGACGACCACCGCTCCTTGAAACTCGGGGTTTTCCTGCTTGCGATTGAAAAAAGAGTGGCTGTCGTTCGAGATTGAAGATGGAAGAGCTTTTGATGTGATAAATTCTGGGAGAAAAGCAATGGGAAGATAGAGAAAACTGCAAGGGCTGTACAATCGGAGAGACAGATGATAGAGAAGCGAGAATCTGCGTCATTTTACATAGGTGCTGTTTGATTGCAAGTTAGACTTAGCTTTAGCAGCGAGCTCCTCCACGCCTTCCCACAGTGAGCTCCAGAAGCACGCAGCCTCCTCGCCTCAGTTGCGATGAGTTCTTCCCTTCCTCCGGACGACAGAAAATATTTGCGTCCATTAAGGAGCGATGCTTATGATAGGCGAGAAGAAAAAATATTAAATCAGAACTAAAGTTGGTTGAAAAAGGTGCACTAGAGAATATTCTGCTTATGATAGGCGAGAAGAAAAAATATTAAATCAAAACTAAAGTTGCTTGAAAAAGATGCACTAACATGGAGAATATTTTCACTTGTGTTATTTATATGTTATTGTGTGTTATTCGTGTGTTATTGATGTGTTATTAAGCTATTATAACATCAAGAATATTCTCAGGACACAATAACATACGAATAACACACAATAACACCTCAATAACAAGTTGAATATTCCCAACAGAGAAAAAAACGGCGCAGTAACACGGGGGAATATTATCCCTCATGTTATTCATGTGTTATTGTGTATTATTCATGTGTTATTGATGTGTTATTGTGTTATTATAACATCAGGAATATTCTCGGGACACAATAACACATGAATAACACGGGGGAAATATTCCCCGTGTTAGTGGGTCTTTTTTTTTTTTCGTCGCACGGGGTGTCGTGGCGTGATTTCATTGGCTATGCACGTTACTCTACGTGCGTAGTATTGATGTAATATTTATAGGAGGGTTATATTTGGGTTATACTCCCTTGTAACCTCCGTGTAACTTATTTGTACTCATGAAACTATTGAAGCGCGAAACTCATTTGGAGGTTACGGGTAGTTTACAAAGAGGTTAACCCCCCTGTACCCCATGAATAACCCCTGGACGTATGCAGTGCTGTGTACGTCTGTAGATGTCTTATGTACGCAAATATTTTCCTTATATCCTTAGACGGTGCTTTCGCTTGGTTGCCGCCACAACTCCACTTGCTCCAGTTGACCCAAATATTACGTCAGGCGACTGAAAAATAAAAAAAAAAATTCGTCTCCCCTATTATTATTATTATTATTATTATTATTATTATGTATTATTCAGGTGTTATTATGGTGGTATTCATGTATTATTGTATTCTAAAAATATTCTCATTGTTATAATAACAAAATAACACATCAATATCATCAAATCACAATAACTCATGAATAATGTGGAATAACACTGGAGGAATATTCCTCTATGTTGTCGGGCCGGATCACAAGAAAATGAGTTTTTTTTTTTCTATCAGCTCCAGGTGGAGATTATTGATTGGACTCGGCACGTATCTCTACGTCCAAGGCCATAACTATTCTTGCTCAGCTGTTTTGCTTTGGTTTTCCGGTGATGCTGAATTTAACAGTAAAATTAATAGATAAGTTTTAAAAACTTAAATCATAATTATAGAAGTTTACTTTAGGGGGATTTACATAATTACATTCATACCCCTGAAAACTTCATCATTTACCTCTCTAACGGCGTAAAGGGGCTTTTGGCTCCAAGCATTATTTAGTATTTGGCAATTGGCATGAGCCAGATTTAGTAAATTCATATATCGTTAATCTAATTTAAATAGAGTTTAGTAAATTTTGTTAATCCTTATTTAACAAATTCTAAGGTGATTAAATTTTGAAAATTATTCGGGCATATTAGTAAATAAATCATAAAAAACCTTAAGAAATTATTTGACAGGTTTAGAATAATTAA